GCATATACTTTTTCACTGTTCAGTAGCTCAACAGCTTTGGAGCCTAGGGCCTCTGCAATGGGAAGGTACAACAGGATGCAGCTTCAGATCTTGGTGGTGGCACCTCTGCTCCATAGACAAAACACCTGTGGCAGAAGACCGAATACAGTTGACTACTTACCTGCTCTGGTGGCTATGGAAGGCTCGGAATCTCTGGATTTTCGAGCAAACCAGAGTCCCAGTTCAAGTGCTGATTAAAAGGGCTTGTAAAGACTGGGTGGAGTTCAAATCTGTGTGGTGATGTTGGGCTGTTGCTTGTTTTTTTTCTGTTTTGCTTTGTGCTCTTCTTTGGTTTGTTGGCTTTGTAGTGTTTGTTCAGCTTTGGTGTTCTTAGTTGTTGTTGAGTTGTTTGAGTTTGTTGAGTTGTTTGAGTTTGTTTAGGAGTAGGTTGCAGGCTAGGCCTTTGTGCAGTGGCATGTGGCTTGTTCCTTGTTTATAGTTTGGGTTGAGTCGATTCTAGGCCGCTTGTAAGCGTGTCCTCTCATTTTTCTTTGTTTGTGAGTCTTTAGTTCGGTTGGACCCTTGGGTTGTATTCGAACGTACATAACTGACAATAAGTTACATTATTTCATTTCAAAATATGTGTCATTTTAAAAGAAAATATTTATTCAAAGTTCAATTTGAATACAATGTGGTTCCATAAAATAAATATTTTGGTAAAATTTTTGTATCATATATTTAAAAATATATATGAATAATAAGTATACTATTAAAACTTATATCTTTTCATTAATTAGTATAAATTTATTTTTGTATAAACTATCCAAATAGAAAAATTATATTTTACTAATCTTTATTTCATACAAATCTATATTATACTAATCTCACAATTTTTATGATTTGTTGTATGTTACTCTGTCGTTCAAATTTATCATATAGTTCTCTACAGTTAAATTATAAATTTTACTAAAAAATATTTATTCAAAGATGTCTCTAATTTTCAAGAGGAATATATATCAACTAGTACGATACCTGTGTACTATACGAGTACTTAAATATATTAATATTTGTATAATAGAAAATTTAAAATAAATTATTTTTTATTGTAAAATCATGTATAATGACTATAAAAACTAATGAATAACAAAGTAGTAACTAATTCAAAATGGAGTCCGTATTTTTCACTTAATTTTCTTATTTTATTTAAAATCTATGGTAAAACGCATTAAAATGATTATTTTATGGTATATTACTGAATTAGATTTTTATTACATTTGTTATAAAATAATTTATGTTGTATTCATATTTTTGAAATTATTTTTTTAATAAATATAGTTTTATTTATGATGATAGATGTAATTATTTTTTATTTTATATATGCAATATGAATGTCAAATCGAAGATCATTAAAATATGATTATTTTGAGATATAACATACAAAAAATAAAATTAAAATAAAAAATATAAAGATTTAAAAATAAAAATAATACATATTTATAATAACAATTATTATATGAATTAAATAAAAAGAGTAAGAGTAGCATATGATAGCTTCAGGAAAAAAAATATAAAATAGTTTATGATAGTTCTCAAGCCTAAAACCGAACATGTACATGTGTCAATACAAAGCATACAATTAATTGCGGTTTTTATATTGAAATTAATTTTTCATAAAATGAAAATTAAAAAAATAAAATTTTGAAACTAAAGCTCTATTGAGTTCATGATTACTTGTCGAGGAAACTTAATTAAACACATTCAAATACACATAGAAACTAATGTATAAGTGATTTGAGTAATATAAACATCATTTAAGACCGAAATTCGATGTTTTTTTTTTATGATTCGTGGGGATTAGTACTGAAGATGCAATATCAGGTACTAAAGTACCATTTAATGGATACTATCTAACTCTAGGAGTGGTACTACTTTTACAAACATTGACCAAAATTAAAGTAATTCATATTAGCTGACCAAAGTAGGTACTAATTGATTAAAAACCTGTACCGAATACAAACATTATTGGTACTATTTCTAGGAAAACATGTATCATTTTACTAAGCGTGATTTTATTAATCCTTCACATCTACCATGATGTGTTGAGTTCATGACCAATTTGCGATTAAACTTAATTAAACACATTTTAAATCTTATAGAAACTAATGTGAGAGTGATAATGGGTCATATAAACATCATTTGAGACCGAATTCAGTGTTTTTTTATGTTCGCCGCAGTTGGTACTAAAGACCCAATATATGGTACTAAAATTGAAGTAATCCATTTTCGTTAACCAAAAGTAGGTACTAATTGATTAAAAATAGGTACTACGCAGAAGAAGAAGTGGTATTATTTCTGTCAAAACTGATATCATTTTAGTAATCATGATTTATTTAATCCTTGCCACGTGGATCGTTCACACGTGATTTGGTTGAGAAATAGTCGAAGTTAAAACATATAGGTAGAATTTGGAGTAGTCATGTATGGTCATTCAATGACATGAAGTATGTCTTTTAATGGGATGAAGTCTATTAGTAGTGTTTTTTCAGTAGTGTGTTGAGTTCGTGACCAATTTGCAATTAAACTTAATTAAACACATTTTAAATCTCATAGAAACTAATTTGATAGTGATAATGGGTCTCATAAACATCATTTGAGACCGAAATTCGGTGTTTTTTTTTATGTTCGTCGGAGTTGGTACTAAAGACCCGATATCTGGTACTACAACACCAAAAGCTGGTACTATCATACTCTAGGTCTGGTACCAATTTTTGCAAATGTTGACCAGAATTGAAGCAATCCATTTTCCCTGACCAAAAGTAGGTACCAATTGATTAAAAACAGATACTACGCAGAAGAAGAAGCGGTACTATTTTTGTCAAAACTGGTACCATTTTAGTAATCGTGGTTTCTTTAATCCTCCATGTCCACCATGCCACGTGGATCTTTCACGCATGATTTGGTTGAGAAATAATGAAAGCTAAATCATATGCGTAGAATTTGGAGTAGTCATGTATGATGATTTTATGAGATGAAGTATGTCATTCAATGAAATGAAGTATATTAGTAGTGATTTCTCATTAGTGTGTCGAATTCATGACCATTTTACGATTAAACTCAATATAAAACATTTTAAATCTCATAGAAAATAATGTGAGAGTGATTATTGGTCATATAAACATCATTTGAGACCGAAATTCGGTGTTTTAATGTGTTCATTACCAGTGGTACTAAAGACCCAATATTTGGTACTAAAACACCGAAAGATGGTATTACCTTGCTCTAGGTCTGGTACCAATTATTGCAAATGTTGACCACAATTGAATAATCTATTTTTGTTGACCAAAAGATGGTACTAATCGATCAAAAGCAGGTACCACGTAGAAGAAGCTGCGATAATATATTGGCTAATACAGGTACTATTTTGAGAATCGTGATTTCTCTAATTCTTCATGTCTACCATGACACATGGATTGTTAACGCGTGATTCGGATAAAAAATAGTGGAAGTTAAAACATATAGGTAGAATTTGGAGTAGTCATGTATGATGATTCTATGAGATGAAGTGTGTCATTCAATGAAATGAAGTGTATTAGTAGTGTTTTCTCATTAGTGTGTCGAGTTCATGACCAATTTACGATTAAACTTAATTAAAACTATTTTAAATCTCATATAAACTAATGTGAAAGTGATCATGGTTCATATAAATGTTATTTGAGATTAAAATTTGGTGTTTTTATGTGTTTGTTACAAGTGGTACTGATGACCAAATATCCGGTACTAACACAATACAAAACTTGTACTATCTTACTCTAGGTCTGGTCCTACTTTTTGTAAATGTTGACAGAAATTGAAACCATTCATTTTCGTTCACAAAAGTAGGTACTAACCGATCAAAAAGAGGTATCATGGACAAGAAAATGTGGTACTATTTTGGCTAAAACTGGTACTATTTTAAGAATAGTGTTTTCTTTAATCTTCCATGTCTACCTTTTCACGTGGATCGTTAACGCGTGATTTTGATGAAAAATAGTGGAAGTTAATACATGTAGGTAGAATTTGGAGTAGTCATGTATGATGATTCTATGAGATGAAGTGTGACATTCAATGAAATGAAGTGTATTAATAGTGTTTTCTCATTAGTGTGTCGAGTCCATGACCAATTCGTGCTTAAACTTAATTAGAAATATTTTAAATCTCATATAAACTAACGTGAGAGTGATCATGGGTCATTTAAACATTATTTGAGACCGAAATTCAGTGTTTTTATGTGTTCGGTACAAATGGTACTGATGACCCAATATCCGGTACTAACATAATACAAAACTGGTGTTATTTTACTCTAGGTCTGGTACTACTCTTTGTAAATGTTGACCAAAATTGAAACAATCCATTTTCGTTCACAAAAGTAGGTACTAATCGATCAAAAAGAGGTACCACGTAGAAGAAAATGCGGTACTATTTTGGATAAAACAGGTACTATTTTAAGAATCGTGTTTTTTAATCTTTCATGTCTACCTTTTCATGTGGATCGTCAACGCGTGATTTGAATGAAAAATAGTGGAAGTTAAAACATGTAGGTAGAATTTGGAATAGTCATGTATGGTGATTCTATGAGATGAAGTGTGTCATTCAATGAAATGAAGTGTATTAATAGTGTTTTCTCATTAGTGTGCCGAGTTCATGACCAATTTGCGATTAAATTCAATTAAAAACATTTTAAATCTCATATAAACTAATGTTAGAGTGATTGTGGGTCATTTAACATCACTTGAGACCGAAATTCGATGTTTTTATGTGTTCGTTACAAGTTGTACTGATGACCCAATATCCGGTACTAACACAATACAAAACTGGTACTATTTTACTCTAGGTTTGGTACTACTTTTTGTAAATATTGACCAAACGAAAAATTTAAGCAAGCAGAGCCAAGCCTTAATAAACCAAGCCGAGATCACGAGTGTCTTGTTTTGTTTAAAAGCTTTATTTGTGGATACTATTCTGTTAAAACATTTTCTAGACTAACTATAAGTCTCCCCGTTCTGTGAAGCATCAAAATTAAAGTTCAATTTTGCAGACTTCTTAGGGTATCTATAAAAGTTACATCATAAATAAATTCTCATGTTGGCATGTGGATAACAGAAACAGCAGTAGTACCAGTTGAGTATGGGTAAGTTTAAAAGACAATTTTCTCATGTTATATCCAATAAACCAAGCAAATGATCCGAAAGTAGGTTAACATAAAACTGGTTTTTTAGCTCTAAAAACTCCAAATACACACACACACACACACACACACAACTCATTGATAATAGTGAAAGAAAAAAGAAATAATAAAATAAACTCCAAGCTTCTATTTTCAACCTTTCCAAACTTCAATCATGATTATAAAACTTCAACAAGAATGCCATTAAAACAGGAACAAGTCAACAGACAGACCCAACATTCATTTAGATGCAGATTTCCTTCTTAAGATCGATTCTAACTCAAGGAACCTCAAATAAATTAATAATAACAGCACAGGCAAAAACAGTATTAAATATGCAGATCTAATCAAGCAATTCCATAACCATACATGAGGGCAACGGGCGAAAATAGTGTTAAATATGCTCCTAGTAATATTGTTGCTATTGCTTGTTTTAAGTTGAATTCAACTACATGAAACAAATAAAACGGAAATATGCATTAAACGAAATCTCTTGAAAACTAATCATAGTAAAATTGGATAAGGACAATCAATGAACCATGAACACCTTTCAGTTAAACCATATTTGCTTGTGATTTACAAAACCATTGTGGTTTATTGGTGACTTTAGCATCTAATAAAGATTAGGCTCAAGATTGGACACTAAAGAAAAAACAGCCATACACTCCTAACATTATGCTACTATCCTTTCTAATTTTTATCCCTGTCTAAATCTGCTTAGTATTCAACAGCCCCCTGTTACCTAAAATATGTGCTTAAATGGAAAGATCTTGTTAGCAAGTCCTGATTCTCCCTGTCTGAAAACTCCATCGAACGGGCCTTATCGGGACTTCTCCATTCGCCGACATCTCCATCCTCCCACATTGAATCATCTGAATCCTCGGGCTTCACCCATCCCAGAAAGTCCTTCCTTGATGTACGACTTGAGGCATTAATGGGATTGAACAAATCAATTTTGGGTCCTTGTGTGCTTCCTCAGGTATGTTAGATTCTTTTATTTCGAGTTGTAGATGCCAATGTACTATGATATTGGAGACAATTAAGCACAAGTCAAAGTCCAAAATTATCTATAATATCTAAATACCAGTTCACTTAGAGCTCCAATTGCGGACATCATGGTACCATTTCACGAAACTTCGCCACTTCAAGCCACTTTGAGATGGAAACAAGTGGTTATGCGATTTTCACCTTGTTTTCCTCTGTTGGTTTCAATCCATACACATTTTCAAACAAGCAACCCTGGAATTTAGTCACAAAGCTCCTGTAATCCCCGTCGGAGAAAAATTTCAAATCCTAAACACCGTAGTCAACGAAATCGACCCTCCTCTGGTCCCCAAAAAACTGCATCTGCAAATCAGTAATAGGAGTTGTACCATGTACATCATTTATTGTACTCCATTTAGTATAGTTAAAGTTGTCATTTGATGTGTAACAACTCTTTCATATATTGTCATTTTAGCATTAGTATAAATAGGTCCTATGTAAACCCTAATCGTCACTTTTGTACACATTATTTTCATTCTCTCATTGTTCAATACAATCTTTCCTTTCCTTTTCTCTCGTTCATTATTTGATATGGTATCTTTCGCGAGGTTTTGATTCTGAGATTCTTGTGTTTTTTTTTTCCGCTGCGATTTTGTTCGCGCTGTTGTTGATCTTTGCTGTTGTTTGATACGGCTACCACTGCCAATCCCTCCGACGATCCGACTTCACTGTACTATTTACATGCCTGAGACAATCCTGGTGCACTGATTGTTGCCGAAACTTTCAATGGCGACAACTATGTCTCGTGGTCAAGAGCGATTACTATGGCGTTGAGCATCAAAAATAAACTAAGGTTTGTCGATGGTATTGTTTCTGCCCCTAACCCTACTCAAAATCCTTCTCCGTCTCTTGCTTGGGTTAGAGCGAATAATCTGGTATTATCTTGGTTTTTAAATTCGGTTCACAAAGATATTCGTCAATCTTTGCTTTTCTTCTCTGTTGCTCAAGATGTGTGGGATGAGATTAAGTCTAGATATGCTCTATCTAGTGGTCCCCGCGTGTTTCAGCTTGAAAAATCCTTGAATACTATTGACCAGGGCAATTTATCTGTAACTCAGTACTATAACTCGTTCAGGTCTCTTTGGGATGAATATCTCACATATCGCCCAATTGTTAAGTGTGTTTGTGGTGCTTTTAATACCTGTACTTGTAAGATCTTTGAAGCAATGACCACTGCTCAACAGAATGACTCAGTGATGAAATTTTTTATTAGATTAAATGACTCCTATTCTTCACTTCGAAGCAACTTTCTCCTTTCTTTGAAGCAATGACCACTGCTCAACAGAATGACTCAGTGATGAAATTTTTTATTAGATTAAATGACTCCTATTCTTCACTTCGAAGCCACTTTCTCCTTTCTACTCCTCTGCCTTCTCTTTCTACTATGTATTCCCTGCTACTTCATGCTCACACTGTGGGTATACTGGTCATTCTTCTGATAGGTGTTATCAATTGATTGGGTATCCTGATAACTGGATTGGTCCTAAAGGCCCTAGAAATAGTGTTTCTCATTCTGCTCATGCTGTTATATCTGAGAATGTTGGTCAACCTGACAGTGCTGTTAATGTGAATGCATCTTTCATGACTGACAGTTTGTTGAGTGAATTTTTAGCCTTTAATAAATCACATGAGATGAAGCACACTTCTTCATCCACACTTGTGGTTGCAACTGCTTTGGCTAATGCTACAGGTATCTCTAAACCATTGGCATGCATAGCATCTTTAAAACTGAACAAATCAACATGGATTCTTGATACTGGTGCCACAGATCATATGATTTGTTCAAATACTTTCTATTCTATGCCTGCTAAGTCTATATCTGCTCAAATTAATTTGCCTAATGGTCATCATACTACTGCATTACGAATAGGACAAGTGAATTTATCAGACACTTTAGTGCTATATGATGCTCTTTATGTGCCTTCATTTCAATTTAATCTTATATCTGTATCCAAACTTGCTGCAACAAATAATTGCATATTGAAATTCCTGGCATCATCTTGTATCTTACAGGACCTTGCAAACCACAAAATGATTGGTTTTGCTGACCTGATTGATGGCTTATATCTTCTCAAATTGTCTGCATCTCACCATAGTTTGTTAACCCCTGAGAAATATATTTGTCCATCACCTGTTTCTGATTCACTTGGCACTTGTCCCTCTGATACTACTGAAGTTGTAAACTCTTCTTTACATGTAAATGCATCAACAACAGATACTTGTGTATGGCACAACAGATTAGGACATCTGTCCTTCTCTAAACTACATTTTTTACCTATTCCTTGTGATAATGACAAATCCTCTATAGTTCCTTGTGATGTTTGCCATTTTTCTAGATAGAAAAGACTACCATTTCCTATTAGTGAGTCCAAATCTGACAATGCATTTGATCTTATACACTGTGATATTTGGGGTCCCTTTTCTGTCTCATCATACTCATCTCAAAGATATTTCTTAACTATTGTTGATGACTTTACCAGAGTGACTTGGGTTTATCCTTTAGTGCATAAATCAGAAACAAAAGAAAGTTTACTACATTTTTACAATATGATCCATACTCAATTTGACAAGAAAATCAAGTCAATCAGGACAGATAATGGCTCAGAATTTATTCTTAGTCAATTTTATTCTCAGTATGGCATTATTCATAAAAAATCTTGTGTTGAAACACCTCAGCAAAATGCTAGGGTGGAAAGAAAACACCAACATATTTTGCAAGTGGCTAGGGCACTCATGTTTCATGCTCATTTGCCTTTACCTTTTTGGATGGACTGCATTCTTACTGCTGTGCATATAATAAACAGAGTTCCATCAACTGTTTTGAATAACAAGTCTCCTTTTGAAATGCTTTATAACAAACAACCTACATATGATCATTTAAGAGTTCCAGGTTGTCTATGTTATGCATCTACTTTGTCATCTCATAGAACCAAATTTGATCATAGAGCATCTAAGTGCATACTTCTTGGCTATCCCTTAGGTTGTAAAGGTTACAAGCTTTACAACTTGGATACCAAGAAAATATTAATATCCAGGGATGTTGTGTTTTATGAAAGTGTTTTCCCATTTAAAGATTTACCTATTTCGGATGACTTTACCCCTTCAGAAACCCCTGATTTCCCCTTGTTTCCTTTACCTGAGCCAAGCTGTGATATATTACCCAACCTTGTCCCACCTACACCTTCTGTTAATCCCCCTACACCTCAACATATAACCTCTGTCTCAAACAGCACAGATATTATTCCTTATTCACCATGTATACCAACAACTACAACTGAACCTTCTGGTACTCCACAACCAAGAAGATCCACTAGACACACCAAAGCCCCTGCTTATTTGGAAATTTATGAACACTCTTCACCAAACAGACACTCCTCTAATGCCACTACATCTACACTTTCCAATATCCCTGGAACATCTAAATATCCTGTGTCTGATTATCTTTCTGTCGATAATCTGTCTGCATCACATAGATGTTTTACTGCTTCTATCTCATTTGCATCTGAACCTAAAACTTATAAGCAAGCTGCCAAGGACCCATCTTGGCAGGAAGCTATGCAAAAAGAGCTAAATGCCCTTCAAAAGACCAACACTTGGACTTTAATAGAACTTCTTAAAAATAAACATCGCATAGGATGCAAATGGGTTTATAAAATTAAGTACAAGTCTGATGGGTCTATTGAAAGGTATAAAGCTAGATTATTTGCAAAGGGCTATACCTAAGAAGAGGGTATAGACTACTTTGACACCTTTTCACCTGTTGCTAAAATTAGTACAGTCAGATTTATCATTGCATTGGCATCCATTAATAACTGGTTCATTCATCAACTTGATGTCAACAATGCATTCTTGCATGGTGACTTATTTGAAGAAGTGTATATGCTTCCATCCCCAGGTTATTGTGATGCTAATGATACTAGAGTTTGCAAATTAAATAAAAGTCTTTATGGCCTTAAACAGGCTTCAAGACAATGGTTTCACAAATTGACTTCTTGCCTTTTATCTTATGGTTTTTCACAATCTATTGCTGATTGCTCCATGTTCTACATGTCTGTCAATGGGTCATTTACAATTATGCTGGTTTATGTAGATGATATCATCCTAACATATAATGATTTGCATAGTATTGAATCCATAAAATCTCATCTTGATAAATGCTTCACTATTAAGGACTTGGGTCAGTTAAAATACATCCTTGGGTTGGATTTTGCTCACTCTGAAACAGGGATTCACATGTCTCAAAGAAAATATGCCTTGGATATTTTAACTGACACTGGCATGTTAGCATGTAAACCTGCATCCACCCCTATGGACTCTACTGTTAGGTTATCTCATAATACTGAAACTGCTGATTTTGTTCCACTATCTGATCCATCTGAGTATAGGAGATTGGTAGGAAGAATGCTTTACCTTATAATTAGTAGACCAGATATTGCATTTTCTGTTCAAACTCTTAGTCAGTTCATGTCATCACCATCTGAGCAACACATGGCAGCAGCACACAGGGTATTGAGGTATGTAAAAGGCACCATTGGACAAGGTATTATCTTTCACAGAAACTCCTCTTTAAATTTAAATGTTTACTCTGATAGTGATTAGGCTTCTTGTGTTGATACAAGAAGAAGTGTTACTGGTTATTGTGTGTTTCTTGGAAATTCCTTAATTTCATGGAAATCCAAGAAACAACCCACAATCAGTAGGTCCTCTGCAGAAGCAGAGTACAGGGCTATGGCTACAGCCTCCTGTGAGATCCAATGGATTACAAACTTGAGCAGTGAACTTGGTATATCTTTAACTTTACATGTCTCTCTGTTTACAGATAGCAAATCAGCTTTAGCAATGGCTTGTAATCCTGTTTTCCATGAAAGAACCAAGCATATAGAGTTGGATTGCCATTTTATTAGAGAGAAGATTACAAAAGGTATCATCAAACTTCATCACATCAGTACAAAAGAGCAACTGGCAGACTGTCTCACTAAAGCACTACCAGGACCAACATTCCATCACATTATTTCCAAGATGAACATGCACAACATACATGCTCCTCTTGCCGGGGGGTAATAGGAGTTGTACCATGTACATCATTTATTGTACTCCATTTAGTATAGTTAAAGTTGTCATTTGATATGTAACAACTCTTTCATATATTGTCATTTTAGCATTAGTATAAATAGGTCCTATGTAAACCCTAATCGTCACTTTTGTACACATTATTT